AGGAGGCTCACGTTTTATTCTTTACGTCTTAAATCATTTTCCATCCCAAACCATCTCATAAGGCTTTTGGTCTTGAAGTGCGTTTTGCCTTACTGGCTTTATGGGTTCCCTGTTACCTTCCCCGGTCTTTTGAACAGGGACCTCAAACTCATTTCCCGATCTCTCAAATTTCTGTCAGTTTGTAGTCTCAAACCACGGAAACATCTGGTACAGTATATGGTGAAACATCACATCAGGTCCTGTAAAACATTCTTCAGTAATATTTTATCTGATATTTCCCATCCTCTTTATTTCGCCCTTAATCAGTGCCTTTCTCACTCATCCACCCGTTTCACTCACAAACTCATAAAGACAAGCACTGAAGCTTACAGGCGGTCTATTGTCCCTTATCTCGCCAGCTTTCTAACAAACCATGAACTCGTTGCAGAAATCTGCGCCAAACGAGAAACTAAATCAATCATAAACACCCGGGTATGCCACATTGGTTTTTGATGTTGTTGTCCTTTTTCACGTCCTTTAATTGATGTATTATATTGTTGTTGTTTTCCCCACTTTTTGTTGACACACTATGGTTATGTGATTGCTGAATATCCACCTCTCGGGGTATATAAAACGATTCCTTGACTTGAATTGAACTGTGAACGACGGGTAACACTTCAAGCATTCAAATGATTGCCGAACAGATAGGACGTCTGCGGGCCTCTGCGAGCCTGACCGCGTGTGTTCGGCTTGTGTTTGCCCGTACTTCGCAAACCTTCGTGATGATCGGAACAGTACTGGATGTAGAAATACGAGAACCCCTAATGTACTGCTCAGAACTGAATTGGCTCCAACCAACCAAATGCGGACACCAATGAAATACACCAGGAATTGACAGAAGCAAATGCTTATGTTTACTAATGGAATTAGAGCATGTTTTATAGAATGTAATAGTCCAGATGATTGGTTGAATGACCGTTCTGCAATCACGTAACCGTTTGCGCAGACGTATCACATGTACTCACTCGGATGTCATGTGTGCCCGGTGTACCATTGGTCGAGCTTCCTGAACGGTGATTGGATGACATGAAACTGTACCTAGTCGTGCATGGATTTCGGTCACGGAAGTCTGGATCACCATAGCCTTGTCTAGGCGAAACTAATCAGAAAAAATCTTGATTCGGGGGTGTATGGGTGGGCTGAAGTGAAGGTCCTATTCCAAAAACAGATTGATGGAAGAGGATGAGAACAACCTGTAATGGGCGTTTATTGTGATACGGTTGTGTTAGCATTGGAGTGGTCAATGAATGGACAAGGTTTTCAATCAGGAAACAAAATCCAGCTCAATTTCCGGTGTTCAAAAATGTCCGAAACAAATGCACGTTGGCAACCAGAATGCTGGCTGGTATTTGGAACAATTATGGTCCCATCTAATATTCTTGATCATTTTGTGTGTAAAATATAACTCAACCGGTCGTTTGAAATCACAATTTTAATCTCGACAAATGTGAGATAACGTCCTGCGTGTTATTGAAAACAAAATTAATAAGTCGTCGATTCGTCGTTTAAAGAAACACGATAGATTTGGATTTTTAAGTGATGGTCTATTAAAAATGAGATCGAATTCAATACATCCAATTAATTATACGGTTATATCCGTTCGCCAAAAGTTTCGGGTTCTTCACCTCCTGGGATATGAAAAACTTCCGTATGCCTCGAATAAGAAGAATTTCCGTGTCATTGTTCCGGACAACCTAATTTGTTCTTTAAACTGTTCCAGAGCGTCGTACACAACTGCAAGACATTTTGGTTTGGTGGGATGACTTTTAAGCAATTGTTGTCTATTTGTTTAGTGTCCGGTATTGGCGAGCTTGACCAAAATCGCACTGGTTATTATATTTTCTTGGATCCCGCTCTTAGCCGAGCCGGTTTATCCTTTGTGAAAATGGTTTCATCGTTTGGCCTAAACAACTTGCCGAAAATGTATTGCATTATATTGTATATGTATGTACTTTTGCGTGAACAGAAGTCCTCATTTCAGTCAAACATTCCACATCCGTGGTGATCCAGACTTCCGTGACCGAAATCCATGCACGACCAGGTACAGTTTCATGTCATCCAATCACCGTTCAGGAAGCTCGACCAATGGTACACTTGGCGCACATGACATCCGAGTGAGTACATGTGATACGTCTGCGCAAACGGTTACGTGATTGCAGAACGGTCATTCAACCAATCATCTGGACTATTACATTCTATAAAACATGCTCTAATTCCATTAGTAAACATAAGCATTTGCTTCTGTCAATTCCTGGTGTATTTCATTGGTGTCCGCAGTTGGTTGGTTGGAGCCAATTCAGTTCTGAGCAGTACATTAGGGGTTCTTGTATTTCTACATTCAGGACTATTCTGATTACCACATCTCATCAAAAGAAAGAAAAATGCAAGTAAAATTTATAACCTCCAAGGTTTCTGAAAAATTCTGAAGAAACGCGCTGTCGGTTCATTAGGATTCTGGTGAGATAGATAGCTGGGGAATTTCTGTAAAGGTAAATACGAGATGGTAATAATTGGTATGTATGTAGAACGTGTGGATGTATGAGAGCAGCATTTGGATAGATCACCATGTAAAGGATGAGTGTGGGGTCAGAGAGGATTTTCTGCGCAAATGCTTCACATGCAGACAAGTGAAGCTCACACAATTTTTTTCGATAGCAAATCAACGAGTGTAAAAGAACACAGTGTAGGCAAACTTATGTTTTCGGTGAGTTCCTTTTCAATACAGTCAAACCGAAAGTTGGATGAATCAAATTTTCGAAGTTTAAAAGACAGTCTGCCAAGTTTCTGTACAGAGTTGTAAATATGGGATGTCCGCTTTAAGTTGGCGTCAATTCTAACTCCTAAATACTTCACGGAGTCTACTATAATTTAGGGATCTCTCTTTATGACCGAGGGGTCACGGGGATGCATAGATCGAGCGAGGGAGAAAATGCATTCAAAGCACTTGGATAAGTTAAGAGACGGTTCAGAACGAACGGAAAATTCGTGGATGTACGACAGATTGTTCGACAAATTTATTAAGTCGTAAAGCACAGAAATGGCTTGGCAGAGAGCTAAGTCATTAACATATTTAAATCACTGAGCTGGAGAAATCAAGAACGGAGACAATACGGCACCCTGTAGCACTCCCGAATTGTTCACGAGCGGTTTAGACGTTTTTCTACACCAAGCCAATTATGCTGAGTTCTGTTTGTGAAGTAGTCGACGAACGACGCCAGTAGGTGCTTGGGACAGCCAAATGATTCCAGTTTACGATGGAGGAGGGAACGTGGAACAGAGTCAAAAGCGGATGAAAAAATCTAAGAAAACACAACTTACAGAATTTGATGATGCGTCTAAAGATTTGATAACGTGATGAACGTGCAAGTGAATGAACATGTAGTCATGAATGAGGTTTGGAAGCAAGCTGCAATTGTCACACGACGTTTACTAAACGAATCGTTTCGAAAATAAAGTGCTACATAGAGTAGGTGAATGACCACCGCCTCAGCTGTTCTCACATCAATCTGATCAATAGATTTCAACGGTTCCTACCGGAACTAAGTAGATCACTTGCTTGTTTAATAGCCTGTTTCACTGAATGTGATAGTTTCCCCTTACTCAGCCAGGTCGGCTTAAGCTCCTTGATTCGTCGCAATAATTGCCTTCTCTTTGTGTTGATATGTTTATTGCCAGATCTTTCTAATTACATAAGTTATCTAAGATGAGAAAAATGGTTAATTGTAATGATTGTTTTAATAGTAATAGTAGTACGCATGAAATTCGTAGAATACACCACGAAATAGGAATCACAGGACACGAATCTAGGATCGGCTATCACGGGCTGGATTACGGAAACACTGGACCGCAATGGCAGGAGCTCGTAATATCCCACGTGAACGAGACGCAAGGAAAAGGCCACAAGACTAACAATTCGTAGTTCGTTTATTGGAATAAATGAAGGCGTTTAAATAATATATACAAAGGAAGATCATCGGTTATCTAGGCTTCTGCCAATCATATTGCGGTATTGCTTGCATAATTTTGCTTCTGTCTGCACTGGCTCGGACTGGCTGGCACGATCCACCAATTGCCTGTAGTCGGAAGCCGTGACATGTAGCCGCCTCATTGATGTCACCGTTCAAATTTGATTGACCGCAGGTGTCCAGAAAATGTAACGCGCCGCTCCAGGGTAGGCGTCATCACGTAGGCCTGGATCACCACATCAATCCATCACTTTCCCCCATTCTCTGTTTGTTGTATGACAGTCTCCCTTTCGGATTGGCCGGCTCCTATCTACCTGAAAATTTTATCTTTGCATATCCAATAAAAAGGAAGTAAAAATGAAAAAGAAAAGAATGATCGAAAAAAACGAGGAGAGAACAAACAATGTTCCTTTAATATTTGCCGATATGATCCGTAGCCTTGCTTCCGCGTTCCTCAAGAGAAACTTACCACATACATTCCGATACTACTTGTTCTACAATAAGCGTAGTATATTTGCTTTTATGCCGTTATATACACGTGATTATGATCAATTCCCATGGTCTATTGGTGTATTTTTAGCGTTCGAACTGAACTTAAAAAGTACTTGAGATTCAATAAATATACTTGAGAAACACTGCAATAAGCGTTTACCTGTACGCCTAATTGGCATAGCCGAAATATCAAGAGTTCGAGACACACGATCAAGCCATCTACCCCCTAAAAAATCCACTTTTCTTTTTCATCGATTTCCACACCGTGTCCTCATCTGATGAACATCAGCACCATTGTATTGATCGTTTAGTTGCGGCAGTTCGTGAGAGTTCACCCAGTATCCTTGATTGGTGTTATGATCTGGCTAGAACGAGTGGTCGCTTATGAATAGGCGATGGGACGAAACGGATCGATCAAAAGCTAAAAAAACCTGGCATTAAGTGTATCCCTGTACCTGTGCCACGGCGAAAAAACGTGCACCTGCGGATGAACTACTACACCGGATGCAGAGGATAATTGCTATTCTCCATTTGTTATACTTGTGTCTCACCATTCGAACACAATCAACGACCACACCAGTCCCATCTAACTCATCCGTCAGTCCAAGCACGGAATCTAATGGGACCGGGACAACCGAAACCACGACACAGTCGACACGACAACCTCTGTCTGTTCTCTACCCGATCAATTCATCAACCCCGTTGACGGGAATCGGGCAACGTAATCAAAGCACACAATTGCGACATCTTATCACAGTACGATACAAGCGACTCAACTATGTGATGCCACAAAATTTGACCCTGCCGTTTGACGAAGCCGAACTACACTGTCGACGGGAATTCGGTGATGACATGCATTTAGTGTCAGTTCACTCTGGCGAGGAATGGGTGAGTCTGGCGGTGGTGGAGGTGACCGATTTGTTCCGACTGAGTGGACTGATTGACTCCTACCATTCCTGTGTGTGTGTGCTTGTGTGTCTGGTCTCGATGATATTTATACACGAATCCAGTTCGATGAACCGAAGAAGATACGGCTCAAAATATCTTATTAATTAATCACACAAATGTACCATAGTGGCCAATAATTCAGGAACACAGAGATAAACAGCGGTGGAATGACTGAGGGAACAATCACTTGTATGTTCCGGAATTATTGAATATACTGTACCGATTATTTTGTACTAACTTAATTTGGAAGCATTCCCGACCGGGATGAGTATGGCACTGTTACTTATCTGTGAACCATGCTATATATCTCATATTTCCACACGCGTCTGACGCCAGACCGTGTGCCCATCAAATCATCTTATGGAAAAGAAAAACGTTCCATGATTTGCATGTGCACCCAATACTGCCAGGTTGCCCATGCCAAGGCAGGTGAATTTTCTTCGGGGGGATTTATAACAGGAGTCTTTGGCTAAGCTACACGGAAGCGCGGTGTGCGAATATTACAATTCATGGGGAACCATTGTCCAGTTCATCGGATGTTGACTTTTTGTCCTCTCACTTGAGTCAGGGAAAACGCACACGAGAAGGTAGTGAGCGGAGGCTTCGTCAGCAGAGGCTTTTCGAGACGCAAGGGCAGATTGACCAGTCAGAATCCAAGACACCCAACCCCCGGACTATACTGAGGCCTCTGGTGTACGACTTATTCCTTACTGGTGCTTTGTTATGATAAAAAGGGACAGTTGAATGACGCCGGATTCTGACATTTTCAAAACACCGCGTGTGCCGGCAGTTAGACCTCAAATACAGACATTTAATGGCATATATTGCTAATTCATCCTGGGAAATGAGACCCCGGGTTCGGAGACGTAGAATGTTCAAAAAATCGGAACCGGTATGCACAGTTGTACAGGTGTACTTTTAGGTTGTTCCGACAACTCTTGATCCCGAATACGGGAAGCTGCATTGTTTCTTTAACTCAACAAGCAAGTGTACGCAATAAGAGAAACAATTTGGTGACTTGAAGAGAAACTTCGCGCGCGCGAGAGAGAGAGATAATGAAAGGAGCGGGAACTGCAACAGTCTTTTGAAAAATCCTGAGAACAGAAACTTTGTCCGCAACACTGAATTTCTCACTGATCTGCTCTACTGAATTTAAATCACATCTCCAAAGAACGGAACTTTTCTTTTACACACTTTTCTTCAGTTTGACGAACGACAGATGAGGTAGAACCCATAGTCACGAGGACCTGCTCTTCGTTGACAAAAACCGGTAACCTAAGCCACGTGGGACTTGGAGTGGTGACCCACATAAGGCCCCGATAAGTTAGGTGTGGTATTAAACCTGACAACAGCAAATCTGCGTACCAGCAAATTTGTGTGGCGGTGGCGGGCTGGAGCCCTGGACCAGAGTTCAAAGCACACCAGTGACAGCGATTAAACCACCGCGCATGAAAACACAATACCCCAGCTTCAGGACTTGGCGCGGTATATAACGCCCCCGATAGGATATTCATGTTACTCGGTAAACGAAAACTATGCCCTCCGCCGTAATCTGAGATCTGCGGTTCCATATATATCTGTCGGATTGGGTTAGATCACCTAGTACATCGGACGAACATGAATTGATAGCTTTCTCTGGAACAGATTTTTCTTCATCAGTATCAAAAGCGTATATGCACGACCTGTTCCGTAATTCGGTTTTTTTTTGGTCGTCAGTTATCTCCTCTCACTTGATTATTGCGTATGATCCATCGGTTGCGACTGTGCATGTTTCTGCTCAATTGACAGTGTCCAGCGTTTCTTTTTTTGTTGCTTTGTTTCAACGAACCACGCAAAGTACAACACACCACACTAACAGACGAGGCCCAGTGGTACCGGCAACAAACTATCACTCCGGAAGACGTATGTTCAAACGTCATCATCATCAACGCCTGATTTTCCCCATTCACTGTGTGTTCTACGGCAGCCGCTCGCTTCCCTACTCCTGAAAATGGTATCATTGTGTACTCAATAAAAGGAGGCAGAAATGAAAATAAAATGGGAAACTTAAAGGACTACAAATTACGTTAGTATGTCAATCGGTACAGTAAAATAGGCATGTAACATAAACACTGAACGCAGTAAGGAACAAAAACGTTTCGTGGGAAATTCACTGCGATGCCACTGACACACAGGCCTATCGTTTGATTCCCGCATTATAGTAGTTGTACAAGACGAGAGATGTGAGAGGATATTCGTATGAATCGCCTATTTCGATCACATTTAAAGTCCGCATAGACCGGGTTAAACACATAATCCCATTGGCCATCTACTTCTATGCGTTCAGACCATTACCTACCCAGATTGCGAAGTACTACTCACCTTTACGAGTAGTATTTTGAATTGCGCCAAAAGAAATGTGATCACCGGTTTCCCTCAACGGTCAAAAATGAACAAGACATCGTAGAAGAATAATTGTTCAGAATTGCAACTACACTAAATACGCATCTAACTTCGGAACGTTCTATTAATTATCCTGTGTGCTTGTAGGAATTATGATAACCTATTCCAAATAAGACGTTTTGTTGTATGTACCCCAATTAAACGATACCCTTACGGTTTTTCGCAATGAATAACTCCTCTCGTCTCTGCACTACCTTGTGGATATATAACACAGTTTGATTCAAAAGCACATTCCACTTTCTTCTACTTTAAAACGGTGACCAGAAAAACCACATTCGGAGACACAAGCTGAAACAATCGTAGCTTGTGACTTCAATCTGGGCCTGCTCGAAAAGCTTGTCTGATGCGCTGTCCTGACAACCGGGTAGAAATGATTCGATCAAAGAGCGGTTCGAAGACGAGAATCCGGTCGGATCATGCAAACGGTCAAATTTGTCAGGGCAGAATCAATCGTTTTATCGATTGACCGATCGACAGTAATATCACTCGTTCGCTTACGCACATTTAAGCGCAGTTCAATAAAAAAAATAAAGGATCCAGTCAATGCTCAATCCAACGCTAATCTGGTTTTAGTCATCAAAATGTACGTGCGCATGCCGATTAGCATGCGAAAAAACAAACTGACTGCGTTGATGGAATCTGTCTTTGCATTAGAAATAACAGACACATTTTCGTCACGGGCATGTTTTTTTTAACCGCACAGCGGTACCATTCGTATCCGACCGAACTGTTTTCGTCTTAAAGCGGTGTTCTCTTCACCCAACTCTAGCCCTGGTGAAGTTTAAGTGATTCACAAGCCAATTGTTATCAATCGGCAAACTGCGTGACCTGTTGATCGTTTATTGCAAGATAGACAAAGGCAGAGAAACGGAATCACAAATACACATATCTGAAGCAGAGTAGTTATGTTTTAAAGTATTGAGCTTGGATTAGCACCCATTCGATTGATGCGTTAGGACGGAGATCACAGAACCCGTCCAGCCAGGCACGGATCCGCGTCACACACCACAATCGCGTTCGCGACGCCCAAGGCAAGGGGATTCCGGATTGGATGACTAGGACGAACCAGATAGCTGTCATTCGATTGACCAATCGCCGTTTCAAGGACGCGATCTGATTGGTCCTTCACCACGGCACTCCCGTACGCCCAATCACGTAGTGATCATAGAATACACTTTGATTGTTGTTCTCCCCTTGTGTTCTCTCTCCCTCGCTATTGTCGGGGCCTAAGAGAAGGGCACCACCCGGGTTGGTCGTACGTCTAACCCGAACACAAAACAATCTCACGAAAGAGTGGGGCTTGGTAGTCGAACAGTTCAACGATTTTTTCACATGGGTTTTTCAGATACACGCTGAATTCCCTATACTGATTTCGACGGACGTTAAGGATACATGCTCCACCCGCTTTTTATCACTCAAGGCCACATTCGCTTACCTGCGAAGTATTAGAAATTTTTTTATATCATAATAAACCATAACTAAGCTTTCCTGGCTACTTAGAAAAAAGTTGATTTTGGTCGTTTTTGTTCTATTTTGTAACCTTGGCTCACGTCACCGTTCAGCACCCCTTAACAACACTTTTCGTGAAAATGAAGATACTACTTACAAGTAGTATAAACTTATCACCCACTTTACGAACCGAAAAAGGCAAAGAATAATATATTAAATCGTAAATGACGTTCAACATGAATGCAACTGATGGAAGTGTCGTAAATAGATGTCAATGTCATTATTAAACTTTTGTACGGAAAATTAAACCACATGCAGTACTATATCTCATCCAAGTGTTCCCATATAACTTCACCCACTGACCCGGTAACTTTTCTAAATTGCCTTTTAATGTGACTCGAAAGGACTCATTATTATTCTTATAGGGCTCAAAAAACCTTCTATGTGTTTCATGCTTATGTGTAGTTAACCAAGGGAATACAATGATCTGTATCCGGCCCAATGATCCAGGCTGGATCCAACGTTGGCTAATGGGCCGAAAAACCTCCGCGGGCGGTTCTACACTCCTTTGAGAGTATCTTTTTTCAAGTTACGGTAGGTAGTACGTTCCGAACATCCACACAAGGAGTGTCGGACGACCTCGATCGTATTGGCATTTAACAGAAACACTTTCATACACTTCGACAACGACACCAACACCGCCCAGTTGCATAGATGGTGAGCACACGTCTCAACACAAACCTCTGCTTGAATTTGGTGGAGCATACGGTACATGTTCGAGCCGTCGGACAGGTTTCAAGGTCACAAAATAAAACAGATCATGCAAAAATGCATCCTCATGTTTCACGAAAGTAAACTTTGAATAATATATGTAAAATGTTAAAACATCTTTAAAAATAGTTAAAAGTGATCCCTTTTAGAATGATTCAAGAATAAGCAAATAACAAGGGGGCTTCCGATAGTATCGTGCGCCGTAACCTTGACGCGGTAAAGGGCCGATCGAACCTGCAATTTTCTGGAGCAGATCGAGTGGTTGGCAAGTGTTGATTATCTGCAGTACTTAGGACTACTTCCACGTCCAGGGTTCCATAGGTGAAATGGTTTGAGACCATTTTCATTAAGCCCAATAAAGATTATGGTTCAACTGTTCATATGAAATATTTCCCAATGACATTTGAACCCTCCAGGCACACAATGAATACAGTTATCCCTGATAATTTCTAATTTTTCACCACTTTTTTGTTAGTCCTATCCGTTTATAAATTTTACATCTCTATTGCCGTTTATTGTTGTCATATTATTATACCATAATTAGACTTTGAAATAGGTGACTTGAGCCTTTTTGTCTAATATACTACTTATCAGTAGTTGATATAAAACTGCATAAATTCCTTAACATCCGCCCTGATTTCGCTTCAAAATGTTGGAAGAAGCTGCGAAAGGTTTCCATGTGAGCAACGCAAAATATCACCGATACACAAATGCTAAATCTGGTCTTGTCGAGCAACATCTGCCTAAAAACCCGCATCGAGAGTTATCACTGTGTCCAGGAATGAGATTTTGTCTCACTGGTGTACAATGAGTAGTTGGGCTCCCTCATTTACCCGATTCTGTGAGTGGCGAAGATTGAATGCATCCCGCCTACGATTCAGTGAGTTCTCATCTATCTAATGTGGAACAGAACGGTAACTTTGATTGAAAAAGCGACTGAATCGGTCCAGTGGGATGAGCGAGTGGCTACTGATGTCAACGAAATACGCTTCTACTTCACGTTCGTTGCACTTGGCTGAAACCATTCTGAAATAACGATAATGTGTCTAAACAAAAAGGATTATTCATCACTTTATTGCTGCTTTGGTAGAGATGCCTCCGAAAGCCTCAGTATAGTCGGGGATGGATGTCTAGGGTTGTGGCCGATCAACGTGCCCTTGCACCTCACAAAATGCTCTCATACGCGACCAACAATCTAAAACATTCTCTACTGAGGAAGACCTAGTCAATACCTTCTGGAGAGTTGTTCAAGTGAGCGGACGAAACGCCAATATCCGGAGCTATATTCGGGTTCATGAACCCTTGGTATTTCACCTACGGGAGTTGGTTAAAAACCCGTCCATGTCCCGCAGGGCTTAGGTTGCCGGTTTCCACCACTGAACAGCAGACAGGTCCCTGTGACTATGGGGCTCGCCCCGTCTGCTGTTCATCAAACGTAGATGCGTAATGAAACAAACTGGCGGTTTTTGATAATGGAACTTTGTGTAGTTTGGCACATATGGTATAGAGTGATTAGGTTAGTAACCTAGATGTAAGCCACTCAGCGTTTGGAAATCCAATTCGGGATAAATTCGATAGCACATCCAATTCAGATTGGTTGGCTTCGCTGATTAAGACAAGCATTGCACATGCTCAGCTGTGGTCTGCCGCACCGTGCCTTATTTGCTGTGGCCACTGTGGGATGAATAAAATCACGAAGAGATCAACAGATGACGTGGAAATGCAGGCCTGAATAGTTACACAGCTCTTTTCCGACACGGAATTCAAGAAAATCGGTAACTGATTATAGTTAGAATTACTGGCAAGAGCCAGACAAAAGTTGCGTGCCTGTAGTCATTTCTTATCAGGTAAGACCGTTTGAAAAGTTGTGCATAAACAGTGATATTGTGCACTTAGTATGTGAACATAAAGGCTCACGTTCTCCGTCCTTCAAAACAAACCCAATCCCCTTCCACCTTCGACAATCTCATCTACTTTGAAAGTATTGTGTTTAACAGCGATCGGTGAAGTTTGCTTTACTCTATTTCGTTGTAATAAGATGATGATGATGGTAATAATGATGTGATAACAAGATTTGTAACTTTGCAAAACGAGTAAAAACGTGCCCTCGGAGCGATTACCGTAGTTTAACGGCTCCTATCACTTTCAAACCGATTGACATTTGACTACTCACAATTTTATCAGTAGTTTATTAACTTCGCACAATATTTGCCCCCTTTATGGTTTATCCCTATTCAGGCAATGATTGAGAAAGTATTCGGACAGTTTACGTCTTCCGGACTGTGGTTAGGCGGTACGATGACCAAAGCAAGACTGCGCAAATTCCACTTCGAATGGAAAGATTTTACTCCCTTCGATTACCACCGCTTCACAATGGGAGAACGTAAAAGATGGCGAACAATTGCGAAATACAGCCATAACGGTTGTATACAGGCGAATGTGGGCTGTTCTGAACAAAGCAATTGGTATGTGGATTCCACACCGTGTCTCGAGATGCGCGATTTTATTTGCAAGCAATCAGTCCCGCTTGACGTCGATTCATTCTCGTCGGCCGGGTTGAGCATGAAATCTGCCCTATCGGCCCTACTCACGTATCTTCCCTGGTTGTCAGCTCAAACGTATATGCCCACAAACGCTTGGTCCGCACTGTCAGCCTGGCCGAATTTGGCCTCGTTTTATCGGGGCGATAATTCTTATTTGTACACGGGGAACTCGAGAAGTGTGACACCGAAAACCAACACAACAAAACCGGCGGAACCCAAATCGAAAAAAAATGAAAGAGAGAATGCGTTCAACCAAACCGGCAGCACCACTGCCGTCCCAGTTGTTACTGGTGTTTCAAACACAACAACAACAAGAACAACAACTCCACCGACGACGAAAACAACAACAACAACCAGTGTCACCACAAAAAACACTACCGTCTCGACGAAGTCTGCGCGTAAACAGAGAAAACGGAAAAAGTAAACTGTGGCTAAAACCAAACCAATCGACAACAAGAGACAGAATACACTGCAGAAGGAATGTCAGTAGTTTTCCCCTATTCGAGCACCACC